TTCTTAAAGTGGCACAATTTTTACTACAGATCCTGTATACCTTGTTAAGTAGTTGAACATTCTGGACAGGCTTTTTTAGCTTTATATTTTCCACCAAGGATAAAGTCTATGTTCGAAGTGGGTAAAAAGCTGTCATAACGTGACCTAACTTTTTCCCTTGACAAGCCCGAACAATTTTCTCCAACAAGAAAGGACTGAGTTAATTTCTGGCCCGACACGATTAAATTGCAACTAGCAAAGATTTTTTCGGCTGTAAAGTTAAACAAAGCGTAAGGAGCCGGTGACTTGAAAGGAGCAGAAGTGTAGTTACTTCCGTCATCATAAACATCCTATAAAAATTAGACAAGTATTCCCACTTTACAAGAAAAAAAAACAGGACCATTTTATCGAATTTCTCGACATTAAATTGGACAAGTCTCAGAAATATTAAACAGGTTAACAGACATCAAAAGGGTTTTTGAAAACTGTTGGTTTAAATTGAAAGACCGGCGGATTTAGTAATTTAAATACTTTAAGGAATTTTGCATCGACAATAGTTACATTTTACACTCAGTGTGGTGATTAGTGACCGTTAATCGATATTTAAATTTCGCCCTCGGGCCATGGGCACTCTCAACACGACACGCAAGAATGGCACAATTACACAGAAGACAAACACTTTGAGTGAGTGGAAATACTTTGATTGAATATAAAAAATATATTTTGCATTGTATAAATTTACTTTTCCACATCCTAAATGTATTTGTTAAATTTAAACAATGTTTGTAAATCCTAGGCCCTGAAGATGATCTCAATAAAGATCGAAACGTTGGCACGATAAAGAAAAGTTTTTCTGAAACCTACATCACACCAGACCGCATCTCACGATCTCTGACTAATTTTCCACTCTAACTTTCACTTCAAAATCAATATTCCCCGCCTGATTTAGGTGTAAAAGTCAAGAATTGGGGTAGATACGATTCAAAAGAATGTTTGGATTAATCCTTTCTTGATTGTTCGCGAAGAAAGAAGAAAGTAGTTCTTATCTACTTCTTGGGTTGCAATGAACTTTTAAAAATCAATTACTCTTGATGATTTCAAAAAGTCAGAATACTTAATAAATAGAACATTGTATTATTTAAGTGATTAAGCACAGATACAAGCAGTTATTCTCTAGATGCTTCTGTTCTGTAAAGCATCGGGTCATTTTTTGACTGGGTTAAGAAAGTGCAAAATTTGAATTATCCCGGGAAAATGTTTCATTTCAATTCACAGCCGGACTCTTCTTAAAAGCTGTTTGCTGGTCGAATCGGGAACATTGAGTGAATTGACCGCTTTGTTAAAAGCATTTCCGAGTGGTGGAAAGACTGCCTTCAAACCGCTAAAAGGCAAATTACGGACTTGAGATGATTTGCACCTTTCGAGGTGCTTAATGGTACAATGCCTTGCCTGTAATATTTCAAGAAATAGATATCTTGCAGATTGAAACAATCACGTGCGGCTTCTCAACTTTGTATAGATAATAACGGCTTGGCGACAGGGATAACAAGCAAAATTTTAAAAAATAAGAAAGCCAATCGCTTATTATATTTCAAATTTATAAATCTCAGTCTGTAAAGTTCAAATATCCTTCACCTAGAACCATGTGACTTAAAAACCTTATATTTTCGTGAGGTTGGGTTGCATTGGTATTTTTCCAGTACCGACGAACTAAATATAGAAACAAATTAATACAGTCCACTTAAAAATACTCTTTTTCATTTTTGTATTCACAGGATCAATAAGTTTGCCCTTTTCTTATGAGTCGTGTCAAGTTTGTGATACAGATCAATAGAAAACATCTGCAGGACAATATTGTAGTACTCCTGAGGGTTAGCAGAAGAAGAAATACGCGGTACCCATAAAAAGAAAACTGATATCGCGGAAGATACGTATATCAAAACGCATCAGTATTCAGTCTCGGGACATCGGATAAGTTTTATCCTGCGAAGGTAAAATTGACTATCGTCGGATGCCGCTTTGACGGATTCGCCCCTATAAAGTCAATGGGTGTACTTGTGCCCTTCTGATCGCAACCTTGCCTTTATGGATTGTATCCCATTATCTTCGAGCGAAACGAGCTGCGGCTGAAAACATTTTGACAGTAATTTCACTTAAAAGCGCGTTACATCATGTCACTTCGATCAATCAGGAGTGCCGTCTTTTAGTGAAATAATTCTTTTTTTATCTAGGAAAATTGGTCACAAAATGAAGTCCGGCCATTAGACAACATTTCCGATATGTTTTCGTAATGTCTTGTAAAATTTGCCATGAACTGGATCAAAACCACAAAAGAATCTATACTCAATAATTAATTGAAAAATAGTTCTATATTTATCTATTTATCATTTTATCTGCGAATAATATGTAGTTCACTTTTTATTTTTTCTATTTTCAAGAGCGTTTTACTTGCTGCTTTTTCCTGAAATTTAATCTTTTTCGGCCGGCTGAATGCACTGCCCATTGCCGGCTCCTTCAGTATTTACTATCTCGATTTTTTTTTTTAAATTACCTTTACCTTTCATGTTTAACCCTTCTGCACGTTATTAAAACGTCCTAAATCAATTAAAATACAAATTCATACAATTAAAACGATTACCTAATCTAAGTTTGAAGGGACTCAACAGTTCTCGATATAATGCTGAGACCCCACACCTACAACTACGCTAAATTTATGTAAGCCTGAGGTTTTTCGTCTTGACGCCCTCCCTTCATTAACGGCAATAATACATTCACAGAGAATAAAAATCACTGCATTCAATATCCAAAGTTAATCAAATTGGTCCCACAGGTCTGTGGGTTCTCGATATTCTACATCGTCTAGGTCCACACACCGCTCGCGCAAATAAATACATTCACGTAATCGATTAGTCACCAGGGATTTTGATATTAAGAAAGTGAATACCCCCTATTTCACTGCAAATATATACCAAAATAAATAACCTAGACTACTTGTCCGTGGGTACTCGATATTCCATCACAAACTCTCATAAACTTGAAGGTTCGCGCTAATAAATACTCTATCTAAAATGAATTTCAACCAAAGCATGAAAACTCCCTATACATTCTATATGCCACCATATGCATTATCTGGTTCAGGCATAAAATTCTTATAATAATTCTTATAACCACTATAAAGTATGCTTTGAAACTTAATATTATTAAAGTAATTTTCTTGCATTTGATTATAGTTTTGCTAATTTTGATAAATGCATTCAGGGTTTAGATATAAAAAAATTTTTTAAAACAATTTGCATAATTGCAATATAACATAATTAAATCAATTCTTTTTTCCTAAGCCGACGGTCGACCGGTGGAGCCCGGAGGGGATATCTCGAAGGGAAAGCGTTGTCCTGACCCGCCTGCGGATAGGCCACACACGTGCGACTCATGGGTACCTGTTGGTTGGCTCGAGTCGATCTAGGTGCCCAGCATGTCAAGTAGACAGACTCACGGTGTCGCATGTGTTGGAGGGGTGTCGCAGCTTGGCCCTGTATAGGGACCGAAATGGAATACCGCCGGGTTATAGAAGAATGCTCGAGCATGGCAGCGAATTCAAGGACAAACTTTTTAGGTTTCTAACAGATATTGGGATTATGGGTTGTATATAGAGGGGTATTTATTTTATAGGTTTAAGTTTAGCTTTAGTTTCTGGTAGAATAGAAGTATGTTGGGCGGCGGTGCAGCATATTATTTCAAGGCTCCACCGCTGCTCCGGTAAACCGGTTCGGGGCGGAATATCGAGTACCCTCCGACCCGGATTCCAGACAGAGGATATGCATGTGTGATTGGGTTTGTATATAGTAGTATGTATGTATTTATTGTATGAGTGAGTGTGAGAATGACTAGTTTTAGGGAACGTAAGGGCGCCGAAATGACCAAAGAAGTCGATGGCGCCCGACCAGAGCCCAACCTCGTAGTCGCTTATGTACCAAGGTGGGTGACTCCCCCTTATCTATCAGGGAGAGGCCAGAGGCCTCCTAGGAGGTCTCGCAATCCTAATTCTAATTCTAATTCTTTTTTCCTAAATGAAAGTACCTTTTATAACAAAAAGAAATATTTTTATGGGCGGTTTGTTGAAGTAATGAGCCTTCTAATTCGACAAATACCACAAATATTTGGTGTATTAAGCATTCAAACAAGCATAACCGTCAAAAACATATTTCTGCCGTAAAACAATATCGTTTTACTGTATTTTTTATTTTTATATTTGAACTATTTTTTCCATTACTATAATTAATTAATAAATTATTATTTGAATACCACTATTTAAAAAATTAAAAGAAAATTTTAACACTATTATATACATTTTTATTTTTAAGTAAATAACTGATATTATGTAATAATTAAAATTTTAAAAAATCTACAAAATTATAAATTTACAAGAAAATGTATTTTATACAAAGAAAACATTCAGTCATAAAGCGATATAATTTTACTAACGAATTGGTCGTATAAATATTAATTTCACCATTATTTTATATAATGTCGTATTTATTATTTTACAATAATAATACCAATATTATACATACCACATACATTCTTGCCAGAAAAACATTGTTTATTGGCGGTAAAAACATGTAATAGCAGTAATAATTCGGTAATTACAATACTCTACTTGTATTTGTTTACCATTATTATTATTTGCATTATTGAATTAGTTTTCCTCTCTAAATGGAAATGTGATATTAGTTATATAAGTGATAATTATGATGAAAACTTTGCAAAATGCTAGATCAACAATGAAAGTGCATTTTATTTAAAAAATATAGATAATTTTAATTGACATAAACTTTAGCGTATATGTTTGTTTCTTTTTTGTTTTTTCTGTACCACTTCTATTTAATGTATTTCTATTTTTTATTTTAAGGAAATAACACAGTACAGTAGAAAGCACAAGACAGAGCACACTCACCTCACCTTCTTCTAATCTTTTCTCTTTCTCTCTCTCACTCTTCTCTCTTTTGTTTTTATGTTTCCAGGCGAGAAGTGCGAGTACAAGTAGCTTTAGGAGCCTCAGTCAGGTACATTGGAATTCAGAGCCAAAACGGAAATCAACGAACTCTGTTCGGCCCCTAGGGCCTAGATTTACCTTTTTTTTCTTTCGGCTGTTACATAGTTGGTACAATTGTAGAATTTTTCCTCATTTTTATTATCTTAAGCTTTCGAACCAATCAAACCATTGCCAGATATGCAATCTTGACAAGCTCGAAATGCCAGCAAGTAATCAATCTGCAGTACAGTGGAATTTACAAGATTTACACAAAGCATGTTGATTCATGCAACAAGCACGATCATCTTCAGACTAGTTTGTAGTTTATAGTTTCTTTTACATTTTTTCGATTTTTAATAACACTTTTGTTGAACATTTTTTTAAGCATCTAGCATGAAATCGTGAATACATTTTTAATACATTATTTAAGATGATTGAAAAGTTTTTTTAAGATAAAACCATGGAATTTTTCTATCTAGTGTAGAATAAGTAGATTAAACATTCAGAGCAGTATATTCCGCTACAATTTGCACGATTTTTATTTTCCACTAGAATAGAATTTCAGAAACTCTGCGGTCAACTTTTTTAAAGAAATTTAAATGAAATCTTACATTTAGTAAAAGCAAAATTATTTCTCATTGAGTCAATATTTTAATACTTGGTAAAACCTTTATGAAGTTTTATTGGTGGTCGGTATATTGTTATTAGTATTGATATATTTCTTACCACAAACATAAATTAGTAAAACCGCTTGCCTAGTTTAGAATTAAATATATCTATATAAAATAGAACACTGTTCATATAAAATTAAAAAAATATTTTTCAAAAATAAATTATTAACATTTTATTATAACTGAGGAACCGCTGTGGGCGGGCGGTTGGCGTGTCACACTCCCGGCTCGTAAACCCTACGGTCGTGGGTTCGATTCCCACCGACACCCATTGAAGTTTTTCACGTTCCCCTTTCCCTTAAATACACAAATCAATTAGCCTTGTTTGGCTAATATGTAAAATCATAAGGCCAAAAATAAATAATGTTAAAAAATATTACCTATTTGTTGTCACTGAGTTATTCAACGATGTCAGTTTGATCGTTTTTTCCTCGTGTCCACCAACTCTTACGTTTGTTTAAAACAAAAACAAAATTGTCGAGCCTTTTTATAATTTATTACCACAGCTTTACAAGGAACTTTATTGTCTTTATGAATTTTACATTATAAAATTATAAAAGAGGAGAAGTAATCCATTAATTACACTCCTAACACAACTCTAATCACTTTCCTTACTAAAGAGGAAATCGCAAAACTATCGGTGCTTTGGGTGTCTAAAAGGATTGTCAGGAAGGGTTGGGGATGAAAGGAGTTAGATTTGGGTGTTGGGATGAAAGGCCAGGGTTTTGTGAAAGTGACTGTATCAACGTCTCGCGGTTTCGAGGACGGGGATTTGAACATCTGTGTTGCTAGTAAGGTTGTATACAAATTAGGGAGCTTGGGCAATGATTAGAAGGATTTTAGACTGGAGTGACTGAATTTATGGGACGATTTGTTGTAGACGTGATGGGTAAATGATGCGTTTGCTTTGTAGTGATAGTTTCGATCTGTTGTCAAGCAGTCTTTTGACTAATATCGTCTGTTTTTTGAGTCACATGCGTCCAAGTATGTCTTTTGTCGGTGCAAAGTCCCAAATAGCGGACGGCATTGGGTACTCGGAGAGGAACATAGTTGTAGATTGGTTGAAAGTTGATACGGCGAAGGGTGAACGTTATTTAGGTTGAATCTGATCCTTCATTTCTTGAATCATTCCCCAAACATGAAGTCCTGGAGGTTTTAAGGTCCCTCCTGGATCAGGTTTTGCGGAAAAGATTACTGTATCAAAGATAAACTTAAAAATATATTAGTATATTGAGTAATACACCAAGACAGCATTCAATTTCAGTAAGCCATTCGGAAAACGAATAACAAAAAAATTCTTAACAGATCAAATTCGGCGCTGGAAGGTCGAACGGCGTAATATTCATTAGGGAATCGCAACTGGCTGCTTTGTTGAGACAAGAGCTTTCCTTTGCCGGCCACATTAATCTTACTTCAACAAAGCATTTCGTTGTTGTTTCAACGAAGGGTGCTCCAGAGAGACAATGGCAAAGAACCGCTCTCGTTTGCAACTAATAAAAATTTCAGCCGGTGCCCAGAATCGTTATGCGGCATTTGTTGGTTTTATCTTTTCTCAGAAGTTGGGGAAACATCTCGCGGTGTCGTGCTGCTGATGCTTGCAATAGGAACTGTCTCTCACCTTTCAAATTCTTTTATTTTACCGGGGCATAGCGTGGCCTCGGAATTGGGTCGCACCAGTCGTAGTCGTAAAAAAAACAATAAACGCAATTGAAAAAATAATTACCTTCTGTCGAGTGAAAATAATTGAAACTGGGTCGTAGTGTCATTATTTTAGTTGTAATCTTCTGTCACGATGGAACATTCTACAAATTTCAAAATTCCTAACCATATTCATTGCAATCATTTTCTTGTGATTAGTTTTATCACACGTAAGTAAATATTTTCTCGAAAACTTGTAAAATCGCTTAAAAAAGGTGCTACAATGTTTAATATTTTCATTTGATTAACAACAGAAAAAAAAAGTCTGATTTTATATATCTGAGATACCATATTCCATAAGTCCTTGGATTTCTTCTTAATTATTCAAATCGCGTATAATCAAAGAAGACCGACATGATCAAATAACATACACACAGCTCATCGAAAGTACAACTCCAGTTTCCACCAGGGGTTTATTAATGGGGTCTCGATCTTGATGAAATCCTTCATCATGGAGAGATGATTAGAGGACAGGAAGGACCGCCTTCAAGGCTCAATCACCCCCCTCGCCCAACCATTCGTTAACCCCGTGAAACAGGAAAATCGATACCTTACCACAATCTGTAATTACGTTCTTCATAAATTAATAATTACAAAAATATATACACTTCTGGTAAAAAGAGAACCCAATCTTATTAATAAAAAACAATGCAAAACCCACAGATACAAGCACACCAATCAAAAGTGTATATATATCACTCATCCATTATTTTCATTACTAAGTTCATTTTTCATTATACAAACACAAATCAATAGAAAATGATCATATAAACCAAACCAGATTTGCTAAGAGGTAACACAATACAATAAACATAAGTCAAAAATTTACAATGTTTTCCCCTCATTTGGAGTCGTAGGAAGTGTTAGGATTGTTGCACCCTTGGGATGATTGTTATTTATTTCATGTGGACACGTTTCAATGACGAACAATTAAGCTAAGATGGTTGTGGTAGAGCCAAGGGACATGTAGTGCTCCTAGTAAGGCCTATTTATGCCCATATTGCAATATAAGTACCATTACCCATTTTTGAGGCAACTGTATGCCATAGAAAAGTACTAGTTGTTTGTGCTTTTGATTTACCTTTCCATTTTGCTCTCCTTTCAATAATAATTGTATGTCAAATTCTATTATTTTCTCTGATAAGTCAAATATAGTTGAGCTGTATCAGTTACATTAAATTTGAGGAAAATTTTGGTATTTCCAGTATTTTGATGATTTCGTTTTACTGACCGAATTGGTAAGGGTGGAAAACTGAGACGTTCCATTTCGGCTATGGGTGTAGTTTTAAACGCAGAAGTGATGTTAAAGCATGCTATTCTTTAAACTTTTTGTAGTAGTTCCCAGTCTTTCTTTTTTCTTTTTCTTTTTTGGCCAACGTATGTGACTTGCATATTTTATCATGGGTTTGAGGTATGGCCATGGTTATTCACCCTTCATATCTGGCACATAGTCTTCGGCATATCCTTCAGAGTTCTGTCTGGGTTGTTTTGATGTTTCCATGATAACCTTTGATTAAAAATCACTCCTAAATATGTTTCAATTGTTGGTTTGAGCTGTAATGTTTACTCTTTAAGTAAGGTATTGGTTAAGATAAAAAAGTCAGTGTCACGAGCGGGATTCGAACCCAGGACCTTCGGCATAATACGCCGCTGCCCTAACCACTTGAGTGATCGTGACTTCGATCCACTCGGATACCAACTTCCCAAGTAAACCCCACCTTTCGAATTTAGTGGATCGAAGTCATGATAGCTCAAGTGGTTAGGGCAGCGGCGTATTTAGGCAAAGGTCGTGGGTTCGAATCCCGCTCGTGGCACAAACGTTTTTATCTCTACCGATACCTTACTTAAAGATTAATTAATTAAAAAGAATTTATTTATTCGATCGGACCACGAAACCTAATCGATATAATGTTTAGCTTTTTTTCCTGTGGGATAGCACTATTGCCTTACCCGGTTTTATATTTGTTGTTTTCCCGAGGACTGCTGTGGCTGTGTGGTCTTAACCGTCTTTACGTCTGACTCATACTTACCACACAAACGGTTCTGGGTTCAAATCTAGGCATAGCACTTAGAATTTTAATGAAATTTATTTGGAAAAAATGTTGTAATGGGCTCTGACCCCTCGCACGCTATACCCAACGGGTAGCTTGATGTTAAGTCCTTCTTTATAACAGGAATTATATTACACCAGACCCTTTTATTTTGTGTTATATTTAAGGCTTTTTGAATATAGTTCAACTATTTACCTCTGATTATTATGATTATGCTATCTGTATACCATTGTACGTCAGAGCCCGTTAGCATATGTTGGATGTTGTCGTTGAATGAGGTCCCAATTTGTTATTAAATTATCCATCAATCGGTGGATTACATCTTATATTGTCCATTTTTATCATAATATAATAGCGTATTACTGTTTCATTTATAATTATATTTTTTTAACTTTTATTAAGCGCTTAATAACGAAGCAGTAATTGAAAATTTTATGCACCGAATAGTGCTTTCTACAAGTACATTTTGCAAGCTTCAAACTTTCCATCTTTTAAAACTTTTCAAAATGTGTCAATCCGAGCTAAATAACAGTTTCGTTAACAGTAACTTGGAAAACCAATTTGCAAAGCATGCAGTTGAAAATATGACATCCAACCGGCCTAATTTATCT